ATACAGGAATTAGATTTGTCAAGGTGATATAACCATCGCTCAAACCTACATGTATGCAAAAAGGTAGTATGTAATACCTGTTTTTTTTTTTAAACCTGCACGTTGAAAAAACTGCAGTTTTACATCACGAGGACATGTAACGCTGATTGTTCCTTGTGTAAACACGAGATATAATTGTAATAATATATAACAGTAATTACGGACAAATTGAAATAACTACGACACACCCGGGATAAGCCGTAAGTTAAACAAACACTTTATCGTTTACATTGCGTAGTTTATAAAAGATATAAAAAGACTTATGTAAAAAGTAGGTACCCTCAACAAAAAACATATTCCTGATAAACTCTTATTAAAAAGTGTCGCTTTTTTCACTGGCACAAGAAAATAGCTGTGTGTAAACAATGTGAACACTGTTCGTTCAAAATGGCAGATGTGTGCATTGCGCACACACACCTTTTTATTATAAACTAGCGGGATACCCGGCATTGCCCGGGGAAATCAGTGGCGTTACTGAGTTGGTGACGGCTAGGTTGAAAGGAAAATACCCCAAAAAATCTTACTATCTATCTATCTATGCATCCATCCATCCATCCCATTCCATTCCATGCCATCCCATCCCATCCCATCCCATATCGCAGCCCATGCCATCCCATCCCATCCCATCGCATGCCATCCCATCCCATGCCATCGCATGTCTTCCCATGCCATCCCACCCCATCCCAAACTGTAAAAAATAATAAGAAATCAAAAGATAAAAGACATTAAAAAATAAAAAAGTAAAAAAGTAAAAGTAATAAAATAAAAAAATAAAAAGATAATATTTGATTTGTAACCTACATAGGCTTCCGTGAAGTGTTCCCGTCAGTTTGCGCTATCATTATCATCTTCTATAGTTTATTCTGGAAGTACATACTAAACAGTCCAAAAGTAAAGAAACAAAGCGTGTGTGCTAAGATGTCCTGCTACCGCTGGCGTGACGATTCTTGCCGATATTGCATGTAACGCTACAACTAACGTCACGTTGAGCCCCTATGTAGATGATGCTATAGATTTCTGTTCAATTCTATAACTGATGGGTTATTACTGCGTCGATTATACTGAGCGTCATCAGACTATCATACCCGCGTAAGCTAGTGAGATAACTGCTTAGAAATAGTCAGTAACATCGAGAGCAAGTTCAATGTAACCTACATAGGCTTCCGTGAAGTGTTCCCGTCAGTTTGCGCTATTATTATCATCGACCATAGTTTATTCTGGATTTTTACTAAACGTTTAAAAATGTAGTAAAAAAATTTTGAAATTAATGGTGAAGTGGCAGAAGTACATACTAAACAATCCAAAAGTAAAGAAACAAAGTATTTCCCGAGGTCGGATTCGAACCCGGAATCCCGGTGTAGGAGACAGATGTTCTAGCGATTAGGCCACTGCGCCATTAAGTTTATACACTATGGATTCACACGTACGTCATGTTAATCTGTACACACCGCCATCTATTGAATTGTTATCAATTTTTAACTTTTTAAGTTTTTAAAAAAAATTTTGATTTTTTTCGTCTAGGAACACTTGCCAGGTATAGGAAATCGCCCTCTGAAAATTGCATCCAGATCGCTTGGGCGGTTTGGCCGAGCATAGGTGACATACATACATACATACATACATACAAACTGAAATATAGATTAGATGATGAAAAGGCGTGATCTGGAAAAGACGAACAAGACAATGATATGATAGAACTCACTGATATGCCATCAGTTTGTAATCGTAGACAAGCCAACGATGGAAAGCAAGTGCTTAAATCTTGACTTGAAAACACTCAAGTTCAGTCGAACGAACACACTAAATCACCCTCGCCAACGATTTTACAGATATCCCAACAAACTGCTGCTGCTCTTCATCGCTAAATGTTCCCTATAATGAATCACCACTTATCTGAAGTTCAAAACTGAATAGGTTCGTGATCGCTTAGTAAGATTTATGTCCTACAGAACCTTTATAAACTCGCTTTTGTATAACGCTTTTGTAAACTCGCTTTATAACTCGCTCGTTATAAACAGAAGCTTTTTGTATCGAAGAAGTATTCCTGACTACATATGTCAAAATTTCACAATTATATATTTATTGTATCCTGACCCATCTTCATGCAGCTGTGATATTTTTCGTGTAATTCACACATCAATATGACGCAAGCTGACGTAAGCATGTATGATGTAGCTCACCCTAATCGCTACTTGCAAGAACTATTTTTGTAAAACAAAAATCACTAAACTACCAAACTATTTATCACTGTTAGGTTTTCTGTCGATCTCTCACTGTAAAATTACTGTAGACTTATTCCTACGGCATGTTTTACAACTGTTTTCATGAAAATTCTACACACAACACACGTACCCACCTTTTTCTTTAACAAAAACTCAAACGATCCTAGTTTCACACATGTTTTACCCATCTTAAGACAGTACTTTCTTGGCTGCGAATGAATTTCCCAATAAACATTCTTAGTTTGCACCTCTTTGCTAGCATGTTGACGTATGTGACATTGTTGTTTTAATGACCAACTGGTGAAGTAGGCATCAGAAACACTATACTGATACATGATACTGATACATACTGATAAAGATACTGATGCAGATACTGAACGTGATAACATCTCAAATTATGTCACTGCATCATTATGGTCAAATTATGACCAAGCAGTCACCTGCAAATCACATTGCATAAATAATGAAGACAAACTTAAATGATAGGAAAATCACCTCTTTATGACAGCCAACTTGACAGTGTGATTTTTTATAGCAGTCTATCTAACAGTCTGTCATGTCTCACAGTGTTAATTCGTGGATATGTGCTACCACACAGCGTACCGAGATTTCGGGTTCCAGATCAAGATTTCAGAATTCAATATTAGCAGGTTAGGTGTTATCACAATAAGTTTTTCTTTGAAAGCTTTTCCTTGTGAATCCTGTCTCATGGCTCTTGACTGTACAATATGCTTATGCAAGCAGACGTAAGATACATACTACCAAGATCTCATAATAGAGAAGAGTATGACACTGTTTTAACAGCGTTTTGCATAGTTTGCATTAACTTGTAAATATTCTATCAATATGTGAATAAATATATTCAAACTTTACCTTGTTTTCGTCTATGATTCTCCCTTAATCATATGACACCAACAATTAACCTGAAAATCGTATGTGTTCTTCAAAAAAGTAACTACGGGACGCTGGGGGCTGTTGGGGATATTAGGCAAGCACAGTAACAGCACCTGTTTCGCTTCCTTATCATCAGGAACACGATGGCAACACAGCTAAAATCAGCTGCTAGCTCGCCGTGAGCACACATTTATTTCTAGCACGCTGGAAACGCGTGAATAGCTGAATACAATTCAATAATATAATATATTGAATAATATAGTAAATAGTGGAATAGCTGAATACAATTCGATGCCTCATATCCCCAACAGCCCCCAGCGTTCCGTCATAGACAATAGAACACTAATGCGATAATAAACTTGCGCCGAATACATGCGATCATTTGGGAAAACTGTGTGAAACCATGTCGTATTCAAAACATTTTTGAAGAACAGATACGATTTTCAGGTAAAATTGGTGGTGTCATATGATTAAGGGAGAATCATAGACAAATACAAGGTAAAGTTTGAATATATTTATTCACATATTTATAGAATATTTACAAGTTGAAAACTATTCAAAACGCTGTTAAAATGGTGTCATACTCTTCTCTATTATGAGCTTTTGATACTATATAATCGTAGATAAATTTAAAGAGAATTTTTGGGGTTTTAACAGGCAAAGGTGTAATTCGCCCAAACCAGTAACTTGGTGCTCTGCAAGTTTAATGCCAAAGTTGGGCGGCTGGTTATAAGAATTCTAAAAGCTTTATCTGACATGCTGACAGCTAACTGGCATTGTCCGATGGAGACGATAGAGGCTGCAGTGTGTCTTTATATCATTGCTACTGTTAAGCCTGTGTCTGAGTGCATGTGCGTGCATGTGTGTGTGTGTGTGCGCGTGTGTGTGTGCACAGACATGCATGCCTATGTGCTCGCATGTGTGCGTGCATGTGCAGGGGTAGAAATTAACTTTTCCAACAGACTCCCTACCCTCAAAAAGAGGGAGTCCGCAGCAAAATAAGGGAGTCCGCAGTCTGGGTTTTAAAATTAAAGATATTAACAATAACGCATGTGGTTATTTTTAAGATTCATGCGGTTGCACGTCTGCCAAATTTTCTTTGGACATTAGCTGAAAAAATACGGTAACTCCGCGAGGCTAGTTAGTATGGCAGAATTTTCAGGGAGTCACACGGACTCCTGCATATGTCAAATCAGTGAGTCCGACAGTAAATCAGGGAGTATTTGACTCCGGACTCCCGTTAATTTCGCACCCTGGTGTGTGTGTGCACAGACATGCATGCCTACGTGCTCGCATGTGTGCGTGCGTGCGTGTGTGTGTGTGTGTGTGTGTGTGTACGAGTGTGCACAGACATGCATGCATACGTGCTCGCATGTGTGTGTGTGTGTGCGTGTGTGTGCATGCGTATGTTACAGTGTAATGTCTATTAATGTGAGTGTTTGCATGCGTGTGCTTGCATGTGACAAGTTACATGTTATTGTGATACCCTGTCTTATCCTGCTAATGTATGTATGTGTGCATCTGTCATCTTATGCGAGGGTTTCTGCGATATCCCATGCCCATGTTCCAGTGAATTCCTTCCCCGACCTGTCTATCATACTGTATCTTACCTGCAGTGTATCTCTGTAAGATCCATGGTCATGGGAGATGATTGACTAAACACTGAATTCACAGCATCAAACATATTTCACAATTACTGTCTGCAGAACTTATACTATTAACTGGCAATGCATGATAAATGTTTAAACTAACATATAATATTGTATACTATATTAAGTACACCAGCATAACACGTGTTTGTATATAAGAAATCTATCCGTAGTTACGTTTCAGACAACAACCTACCGATGTGCGTTTTGAAAGCCTGAGGTTTTATCACTTGCCCACAGAATTCACACACAACCAGGTAGAATTCATCCTGTACTGGGCAGAATCCAAACAGTGACATATCTGAAAAACATGAACATATTCTAAGGTACGAAGACCTGAAATGGGAAAAGGCATCCAACGGTGATGGAATCTGTTGCATTGTAAAACGAATGTCTAGCATTAACATTACAATAACATACATAGCTAGCAGAGTGGTTAGACCTCTACATGAATGCGCATGTCTCTAGTCAGGCTATGGGGAAATATAGGTGAAACCTTGATAGATCACACAATTTATCCATCTAACCATAATATCAAGTTGTAATAAAAAGTAATTAGTGTGGTGAATGAAACCATTTCATTTATGCTGATTTTACAATCAACATACTGTTAAATTGACTACGTCACGAATTTTCTATGGTGTATATTTGTAAAATTTTTGTTGCCATTTTTTTACATTTTACATTTATATGATCCTGAAATTAATTGCTTGCTATGGGCTATGTATGAGTCACGAGTGTATGTTTACATCAAACAATATAGTAAAATAGGACGTATAATGCAACAATTTAACCATAAAAAGTAAACTTACTTACATTTTGTGAAAAAGTGGAAATATTTTTAATTTTTGTTTACTATTTACGATGACGTAATCACTTTAAGTAGTATATTAATCATTTGAATAAGATGATATAATTTACTATATATATATAAATATTTCTATTTACAAATGACTCTTCCACTACAAAACTATAAAGGAGCATTAAAGCAATCCAATCTCTACCAAAGTCCAGAGAGACCGGGTACAAGATGGCGTTGCGCAAAAGATGCGTTGTTCCCCGACCTCCGAGAGCGGTTAAGCCGCGCACGGCCGCGGGACTGGGCGCACGCGGCCGCGGGTGTTGTATGTAGCATCTCGCGCTGCCCGCTATACGAATTCGCGCGCCCGCCCTCCTTCGTCTAGTATATTAATATGTAATATACTTACCAACTGTCCTTAGCTTCATTGCATCTGCTTGTGTTGTGTCTTTTTTATCCCTCGGGTTTGATGCATCAAAATCTGAAATGATTATGTCATTCTAGATAAATGTTTAAATGGCGATATATTATCTCCTTCCTATCCTGTATTGTTGAATGTATCCTGATTCAACACTGACCTAACCCTAACCCAATCCAACTTTGCTTCCCTACAAAATAATATCATACTCTTTTAATATAACACCACTTGCTGCTACGGACAAATACCTGTAATGGGACGACTGCATTAGAGTTGAAGTTAGCAAGGCAGATATAGTTAAAGGGAGACATAATATGCAAGCTTTTTGTTACTGCTAACCATTCACTGTGATGTCAGTATATAAAATTACACGAAAATAAAATGGTCAGAATTCCTACTAACTCTCTCTCTTCTTTTATCAATAAATAGCAGGTAGGTCTTTCTTATTCAGTTAATTTTCGTATTATTAAGCAAATTACTACTATATTTTTATTTATCATTATTTTATAATATTAAAATATTAGTCTGTGGATAAGCAATGACAATGTAAACATGCTATGCACACTGGAAAGAACCGGATCAGCTATTTGTATCATATTAAACAATAATATTAACTCCTTAAGTATTCATTTATCTATTAATGCTAAACGATAGGCCTACCATCCTCATCTGGTGCAGAAATAAATTTGTTTACATGCCAGAGATATCTACGGTACTGATGTTGTATGCTCTTAGCTTGTGCTGTTCCATTCGAATTTAATGATGTAGGGGAATGTTAAAACCATCATAGACAACTAGAAATAAGCAACAAATGCGTTGATATTTAGCATATCTACTAAGTTATCTAAAACTAAAAATCAAAGCAACCCACAAAGTCAGTCCCAAAGGTGGCAACTACAAACTCTATCAACGACAACGTTGTTATGCAGCGACGTGTTTACATCGAAAATATCGTCGTTAATTTCATCGTGTAGACCTCATCTATATAGTTTAATAAATGTATAATCGGTGTTAAATTAATGTGTAAGTACCTTTATTACTGGTTTAAAGTTCTAAACAACTGCTAAACAAACATATTTGACTATTTCCTCAAACATTTTGGGAGAGCACGCACTAAAATATTGAAATAATTAGCAAGGCGTGCAAAACCTATGGGGTTGGGACTTAGCTAAAGTTCGTCTATGTCAAATTTGTTTTTCCTTACCGCCTGGGGATTCTATTCTCTCAACCCAGGCTGTCCAGGCTTGCCCGGAAAACATAGCTGGACTGTCTCTAGGCTTCGCCATTTTGATGTGTCTTGTTGCTTGCTTTTGGCGATCTCAGCCGACAATCGCCGAAAGTGACGTCAAATTCGGATGTTGAGGTCCGCCGCAATCCATTTACTAAATAGATAAAAATAAAAGTATGATATGTTACTAGTCAGTTTAATCTAACATCTAATATAATTACAAATTAAGTTTACTTTATATAATAGTAATTGTATTGTGAGATTATATTTTGTCACCAAAATGTTTCAGTTAATTTATTAGCGTGGTTTATTACGGCGACATGTGCGCCCGGCAGCGGCATTCTGAAAGAATGGCTGACGGTAAGTCTTTGACTTTATTTTTGTACTACTACTTGCTCTTGAAGTTTACGTATGAATATAATTTTAGTAATGCGTACCTACATTATATTTATAACATACCCATTATTCCAGATGACATACTGAGAAAGAAGCTTCTCATAGAGGGCGATGGTACTGGTAGCGACACTCGTATCAACACATTTCTCAAAACTTTCTTCAAATGGTTCCACGGCAAAGACGCAGAGAGCGATGAGGAAAGGTAATTCATGGCACGGTCACAATAAATTACCAGTGTAATATACGTTAACAAAGAACCATCATGGTGTGTTTATGTATATTAGTCCATTCACAGCGAGGTGGTGTTTCATGGTCCAATATTGACTAATAGTAATACTAGTGTGGGATCATTGAGCAATACAAAGTCACAGAACTAGGAACAATATTTATATTTTGTTGTCGTTGCTGGATTATTATTCAGTTCTACAATGTTTCTTCTATAGTAATGCTGCCTACCAAAAGCTGCTGTCACAACTGGCCCAGATTGAGATAAGCCATGCGAAAACCAAGTTCATTCATGACATGAATGTCCAGGAAAAAAAGAACTATGAAAGACTCTACACAGATATAGGTAGAGAAAATACTGTGCAATCCAGGATTATGTTACTAAAAGTGTGACAGATAGGTTAGGGCAGTGGTGGTAATTTTACAAGTTCTGAAAGTTTACAGGACCATGGCTTTAATTGAATTAACCTGGGAAGCATCGTCCCTAACTAGCTATAGTTAGTTGCTTTCCGATGAACTTTCTTGCATAGATGCAAAACTAGACATTTTGTTAATTTGATATCTACATATACATGATGATGTTTTTTATATTCAGAACAACAAATAGATGATGCCAGGCAGCAGATTATTGACTGCAAGAATGAATTATTACAGGCAAAGAGAATCCGCAAAAATAGACAAGGTACTGCAATATAGAAAAAAAGGTTTTATCGAGTACTTTTAATAGTTTTTTTTTGATTAACTGGCCTTTAAATTCACCCTGTGTGAATTCCTGCATTCCTTTGTATAAGCTGGCGAATCTGAATACGGTGGCTCGCATGGCTGTTAGGAATGCTAGAGCAGTCATAGGTCACCATGTATGAAATGTGCCTGGTATAGAGAATAATTATGGTGCTTGGTTAATGTGGTGACTACAGCTTCTCTGATCCCCCTTCCATCACTTGTCTTAGATGTCATGTTGTGTAATCTCTATCTCCATGGTGTATGGTCAGTCAATTCCTATTCCCTTACTATTCCTACATTCTCCTTTGCCTTTGTTTATTGTTGCGATACACATTGATCTTATTTGATCGGGGCGCCATCTGGTGTTCTGAAATGATAGGAAACTGAGACCAGAGCAACATAGTGTTGCAATGACTGGATTCTAACTGGAGATGATGAGGTGCAGGATAACATGATCACCTGGCATGTGAACCAAGATTTTCTCGATGAATCCTAGGTTCACGGGCCGAGGCTGATGTGAATGTGACTCCCTGCATACGACTGATCCAGTCCCAGCCGTGCGCGGATACATAAAAGAATGTCGGCCTATCATGTTAGCGTGACGATGAACAAGTGTTTCATACGAGTATTTACTCCGATTTCACTGTGTCAGGTTCGATTTAATTTGCTGCTCGCATGATACAAAACTAATTTTCTGTTTTTGTTGCCATGTTTATAGAGTATGATGTTCTGGCAAAGCTGATACAGCAGCATCCAGACAGACAGGAAACATTGAAGTGAGTTATTGATATCCATTATGTGTGCATGTGCACGTACATGGGTGGGTGGCCAGGGTGGGTGTGAATTTGTACTGGCTGCGTTTGTATGTGCATGCGCGTATTTCACATTTAATGTTTGATCATAAATTTGTGTAGTAAGCATTCAAGCTGCACCGGTGCAATTCCTGTCTAAAACCATGTTTTCGTCGTTTGTGTTTGCGTAGTGAGTTGGAGGCTCTAGACCAGCAGACGCAGAGCTCACAGAAGGAAAACTTGGCTCTCGACGACAAGGTAATAAATAAGAGGTTGCAGAAAAAAAACACAGTTGTATATATGTGAGTACAGATGTAATGAATTAACTATCTAAGTGAAATGGGAAGCAAACTACCCATTTAGGGCATCAGTGTAAAAATCTCACCAAGTTGCTACATGTAGGAAATCATAATATTACCTTACTAGTAGGTTCTTATTATCTTATTACTGCGACTCATTATGATTTCACTTTGTACACGGGGTCACATTTGTCAGTCCATAATGTCTTTAATAGTAAACATTATACACATCTACAACATGGTAATACTTCAAGGTAATATATACTATCTGCTTCAATAGCGATGTGAATGAATATTTGATGTTTTCGCAGCTGGAGATGAGAAGGAAACAGTTCCACGTTCTCATGACAGCGATATACGAGCTCACCAGCTTATTAGAGGGTAAGTGTTCACAGTACACTTCACACATCGCCTTGTAGGATTTCAGCAGCACAACAGGGAGATGTGTTCGCATGTAGTAAGGCCATAATAAAAATATTGTTTGTTTGCCCTCACCCGACCGACCTGCAAAAAAGGGGCCGACTCAAAATATTTTATTGATCTTTCCCATTTTTTTTTTATAGAAATTGTATCACTGCATTCTATAAATCTGTAGGCAATACATTATATGTACCAAGCAAAACAAACATTCAACATAAAAGGTATCTCCACACAAGTACACCCGAGCATGTAGACACCATGCTAAATTTGTAAAAAGACTCCCCCCCCCCCTAAGAAAAGCCTACCTACCTACCCAAGCATTTCAGCCTAGGTCGGGTGAGGGCAAACAAAGATTTTTTTAATTGTGGCCTACTATTTTATTTACGTGTTTCCCTGTAACCGATCGCTATAACAGTATAACTCCCACAGTAATGCTAATCTCTTCCATTATTACATCACAATCGGGCGAGGGGTCGTATTCCCTTTGGCTCCTACTTGTTTGTTGTTATGGTTACGATTATTGCTGTCCGTTTGCGTTGCAGCTGATGATGAAAAGAAAGACGAGGACATTAGAATGGAAACGGGATAGGCTGCGAAGTGTGCAGGGACGTCGCTTTGTCCGTCGCCACCAGAATCAGCGCCATCTGGGGACAATCCCGCAAAACAGGATCTCATCGTTTACTTTGCGTTCACATCTCATATTGCTGGTTGTTGTTACCTGGCATTAATGACTTGCTGATTCTCGGTAATGACTCGCAACTTTGGCAACTTGTCTCGTAGAAATGTGATACCAGCTTATTTCTATGCTTGGCAGTATCACACTTGTTCGCGCAACAATTCTTGATGCTCATACCTTCCCAGGGCGTACAATGAACGTAGTTCAAGTGACACCTCGCTGTTACGAGCAGTGAAGTAATGCAATACAGTGGTGTCACTCCATACACATCCACTGAAGTGGAAATTATAGATGATCAGGCAGGGCATTGAATACCCATGCTGATGCAGGCAGGCTTTCTTAGCAAATCGGATGGAAAATAATGCAGCCTGTGCCAGTGCTTAGAATTTGCATTGTACAGTTGATGATGTAGCTATGCGAAGATGAAATGTGTGCGTGGTCTAAGAAGCCTCTAATCGCTCGCGTAAAAACAACAGATATCGTGTGTTGTATGCGTATTCTGATCGGGAGGGGGGGGGCGAAGCGTGGGTTTGTTAGCGTTGTTCACGGTATGAAGAACGCACGACGATGTGTGAAACCATGTACGCAGAAATCTGCAGTCATACCAATCACAGCAAATAAAACGATGTTCGTGTTCGATTGCGCATGGCCACGTCATAGTGACAGACAGGAACATGTAATAGGGATTTGTTAGTAGGCATCCCTAGTATACACTAGTTATTATATCGTTGTTAAGACTACAACTGTTACTAGTTGTAGTAAGTGATGGGATCCCTATTATTTACTCTGGATATAGCAATATAGTTGCTCACATGCTGCTGTAAACGGTTTTAGCGAACCTTTGCGATTTTACCACGCTATAGAAAGTCCATCGCGGTGAACATCTGGAGAATTATCCTCGCTGTGTGGGGAACCATATAAAATATAAGCTATACTAAACCAACTATATATATATATATAATATACATATATGCACAGACGGTCATTGAGCACAGTCGTTAAGTGGAAAAACAAGTTGCATGGCAATGATGGTTATGCATTGTAAATGAACGTGTGATTTGACACGTTTCTATATATTGTAATACATCATATTTTATAATAAAAAATAATGAAAATGAACAAATGACATGCAAGCATTCCTTATGATAACATATAACCTTGTTTTTATTATACTGGACAAAATTTTGGTTATTTACAGGATACTGTTATTATTTAATGGCGACTGTTTTGCTCCGTCTTTTACACAGAGTCCGATGCAGATGACCCATTTTTCTTATGGATTTTATGGATTTTTCCAGAAGGTTATACAGGTGGGCATCCGATGGGGTTGACATGTATGCCAACTCGGGTAGTTGTAGGAGTTCCTAGATATGTAGAGGTGACCAGTTCTGAGAGAGGTGGGTAATATGTCCCAGGTTCACGCACCGGCATCGATTGTATCTGCGATTTCAGTTGTTACATTTGATGAAGAGATGTTATGTAATTTGTATTTATAACGGAATTTCTTATACAACTCGTTCATACCAAAAATCTCAACAATAAATCGTCACATATATCGAGTACATAGATAGCTGCAGGGCAAGGTATAGCACGTGGTTGTTATCACCTCTCGCACACCACACAAAATGGCCTAAACAACGGTTTGTAATTTTGATATTTGTCATGTTAGCCATGAACGAGACATAAGTAAAGCTTTCATTCAACGAAGTAGGTCTTCTACATTTAATCGTATCCTATCAAATCCAGTATGTACCATCGTACCTGTTTCCCATCCATAGTTGAAATGGATTTTTGCTTGTTTAGCTAGGCGACTGTATAGTCTAGATAACAAACAGTGTACCATAACTCGCAAATTCATCAGCAGAGGAAGATCGAATTTAGCGCTTGATTTGACGTTTAGGGGGTCCTTGTAACGAGCGATAAGTCGATAGTTAAGATGAGACAGCATTTTAAGGCACGGTTATGTTTCCGCTTATATAAGAGATCGTCTCCAATATGGGGGGAAATCTTGTCATAGATCATTTGCAATAAGGAGGGAAATCTTTTCAAAATGGCTGACAGTCCTGCTACAGATGGCTCTGTCACAGTGACCTAGCCAGTTTGCGTCCTATTGCACGCCAGCGTCACATGCCTGCTGAAAACCTAACAAAATATATATACAATTAACAACATGTGCGAGATTTTCGTCGGACACAAATCCGATTTATCACATCATCTTGGTCGTCATCGTTACAAATCCGTCCGCCACGCTTCCGTCACCTCACGATTAGTCTGCTTCCAAAGCAATGTGTATTAGGCCATCGTACCAGCATGCATGCCCTCCTCCCCAGGAAAGAGGGGAACAGCCTTCTCCCCCTCCCACCGACTCATCGCTCAGCAGCGTCCAGCAGAGGGACGAAACAACCACGATTGTTCTGTAGGATTGCAGCACGCTCTGCTAACAATCCTGTGTACATGCGTCGCTCGCAGACGACCGCCATCGGGCCGCGAACTCGACAACGTCTCAAAACGAATCATCGAACACGGCGAGCGAACGCGCGGAGACATGGCGTGACCCTCCGCGCCACGATCCTTCGCTCACAATCACCCCCCCAGAAAAATATTTACACAGGCCTCTCTCTCTCCCCCATGTGCGCGTGCGGGATGCGTGACACGCGCGCGCTATCTCAGCGAGAATCAGTCCTCGTCATCGACACTACTTCTTGCCTGCCTTCGGGTGCAGGTGATTCGGGGCATCGGCAAACATGTACTTGAGTTGGTAGGCCTGCGCCAGTAGCTGGCTCACCTCCTCATTGCCCCAGTGTGCCGTTGGCAGGTTCTGCAGCAGCAGCATGATGCCCTGCAAGCAATGGTAACGCCATGATGGTATGATGCGTGGAACGACACGGCGACAAAGATACACATGTTGACACCGTGACCAATCTTACTGTGATGTGCTGTAACAAAGTGATATTACCATGGTAACTCACAACGTAAAATATTGTCAACATGCAAGCCTTATATAGAATACCACAATCAACATAAAAGCCTTTTATTAATGTTCTTAACATTATAAATATTGCCACATATTACAGTGAACTTACACGAGACATTTCATTAAAAACATGTGTTTGTATGCGTGTGTATTCAAGTATATCAGGTATAATGAATCTCAAATGGTAGACAGTTGAGAATTTTTACACCCGATGTGTATTTCCATGTTCATGATATTACCCTTACTACAAAAATGTATGCTTGCAATCACTATAATCACTCACCTGAAAATCCTTTTCTTTTTGAATGTCTCTAGAGAATTCCAGCAGTAGAGCTGCACAGACATAAAGGTGAAACATGGCAAACCCTTCAGGCTCCGACTGTGAACACAGAACACATGTGATTAGCAGGAGCTTGTATTTACCAGCAATGTTGGCACAACCTGTTAAAATCATGAAAATTTACTGAAACGTCTAGACACGAATATGAAAAAAACTTTGATCAAATACAAGCGAAACCATCGCAATTCCCATTTCCCATTTGTTTGTTTTTAAACATTGATGCATCTTTTACAGTTGCATGATCTACAGTGCACGCTATAGCCCTGACTTTACCTGATATGTGTCCCACAGCCGTATCGTACATCGTAGCGGAATTTCTCGCATGAGCAAATTGTTCATCCAGCGAAATGCAAATTGCAGATATTCTACAGAGTTCTTATCCAGGTGTTTGTGTAGCGGGGCTATTATGGAAGAAAATGATAAGCATTAGCAGTAATGATGAGCTGACTACGAGCCTGTGATCTGATCAAGCATCGTTACTGATGGAGACCCTAATTTCTGAATTTATCTCTCTCATGCAACCCCCTCTCTCTGCCTTTCTCTCTCTCTCTCTCTCTCTCTCTCTCTCTCTCTCTCCCTCTCTCTCTCTCTCTCTCTCTCT